GCAGCTTGCACAATCGAAGAATTTCTTCGGTGGTTTACATGTCGGGTAGTCAAAGTCTACTAAAGTTTAACTATGTTTAGACCAACTGCAAGTTATCTTGTCTAGTGGATCTTTTTAGCAAGGTCTGTTTGGTGGTTTTTGATCCCTTTGAAGAGTTCATCAAGGGGCTTTCCTTTGTTACCATATTTGGTGTTGATTTATTTTTCTGTTGTAATGTTTATATTGCATGATTGACACTTATGGTTTAATTTGACATTAAACTTAATCATCTATAAATAATAAATAAGTGACTTATTTCCTTTTATTGATTACTTAATTTTGTATATACACCTCTAGGTGTTGTTGTGCCCAAGTATTTGATTGATTATTTTTATTTATTTGATATTAGAGCATAATTCAATCTGTGACCCAATTTTGTCTAGATGAGTCAACATTTTATATTCCTACATAATTTGACAAAAGTAATTACGCTTACTCGAAAGTTAAAGTAAGAGCCCTTTTAATGTCAATGGATGAGCGGGTTTGGGTTAGTGTAGAAAAGAGTTGGACCACCTCTTTTTCTAGTTGTGTTGCATATAATTTATTTGCCAATTAATAGGAATGTCAAGTGTAGTAAGTCTTTATACAAGTCAATTCATTACGCTAGTAGTTAATTTGCATCTAAATGATATTTTTCTTAATAGTTGAGTGATCGAAGTAGAAATAAATAAATTGTAAATGAAATAGTATACATATTCATTTCCTTCATGATGTTTTGGCCAATACAGTTTTTGAAAAAAATAAATAAAATGGCTTTAAACGTGATTAATGATATTATTATCACAAATCCAATTAAGGTATTCAATTTGACTATGATGTTGATATTAATTATCACAAAGTCAATTAAAGTTATTCAATTTGACTAGGATATTTTGAAAGTTGATGATATAAATATAATAAATTTATCTTAAACTAATTAAGCTATCACCACGTAGTTACTCCATTGAATTAGGATTTAAGTTTGTGATTTAGTTAGAATTTAATTATAAAACAATTTAGGAAAACCATTCATGTTTTGACATGTCGTGCGAGTATAGTTTGTATTTGAAATTTGATACAAATGAACTAATCAATTAGTCATTATCTAAATAATCTAGGATAATAACTAGTTGGCTATGATAAATCCTAATCCTAATCAAACTATCTTAAGTTTACCTGTAAATACAAATGCCATGCACATATGTTTGCCACAAAATCCATTCTTTAACTTTTGTTTCATTCTTTAAAATTTCAGCAGAAATCCCTATTAAAAAGTTTAGAATGTTTTACAAGGAGTTTCAATTTTATCCTTCATTTTCGCCAATCAAAAATTGTTATTTAATAGTTTGAGGTAAGGTTATCATTGTTACTGGTGGTTTCTTCACGTGTTCTAAAATAAGTTGTTATGTATGAATTTAATTACTGCAATTCAGTGTTCCTTATGGAGAAATCATGAAATGTTTTAAGGCGTACCTATGAGCATTAGTTAGCCTAGATGTTATTTTGCGGTGCTTGCTAGAATTATCAATTGTCATGGTGTGATGATTTTCATTTTATTTTGGCAAGAAAATTTATGCATAATTTCGTGTTTGGAAAAATAGCAAGCATTTTAGTGAGTATAATTTGTTATATCCTTCCCTCTTTATTTACAAATTTCGGTAAAAATTAGCATGTTGGACGATGGTAGATGGATAGGTGTGCCAACTGTCGGATTTCATCACGAAGTACATTATTTGTTGAATTTGATTAGTTTTGGGCAACATTATAATTTTTAATTAGTTCAGCTTTATTGCATATTAGAACTAGATTTTTTAATGTTTTGATTTAAGATACGATTCCAAAACGGTCCTCATATTTTAATAAATTTAATTTATCTTTCATTTAAGTTTATTCAATTTTATTGAATATGTCATTTCATTGAAATTTATTTGCTAAGCACGTTAAGAAATTTGTGTTTGATAACTCATCCAATTGCTAGAATTTGGTACACTACAATTTGGTGTCAAAGCACAAGTCTACTTTCCTATAGATTTTTCAATTTGTAATTAAAAAAATAAATAACTATAAGTATTTAATCCTTTATTGTGAATTCATTGTTTGAGTTTTCTTGATTTGCATATTCGTAAAACTAGAAAATTTTATCAAAAAGACCTAAACTTTCTAAGGAGAATTTGAAATTTAGACGGTCCACTTATGACCTCACTCTCACCTAGGAGCCTTTTCAGTTGCGCGTTATTCAAATCAATGAGACGAAAAGCAATGTCTCAATCCCTCTTTGATTTTAAGAAAATCCCCTTCATCTATTGTACAAAATTTCTATATATAATTCTAAGTTATGAGATCCGTGGAATCCAATGCTCATCAGTCTGCCACTATCCAGTATTTTTAAGGTATGAAAGGATGATGAATATTTTTATTTATTGATATTATCCTTCATATTTTTGTTCATACTAATTACTTGAAAAATTTCGTGAATTTTTTCTTATACATCATTGTTTTCCAAAAGTAGTCAATTAGCATATTAGTACTTTGTGTAGAATTATACGATTAATAATATGGTTCTCATATAACTTAAACATAATTACATAACACTTTTGAAATAGCATAAATATACGACAGACATGGCTAAACATAGAGAGATTGCTAGGAAAGGATAGTATGGTTTAGTACCTCGTAAGATAAAAGTTATTTTTATTTAAAGGAAATGACACGATGACAAGAAGATCAAGCTGCTATATTTAGAGATTTGTTGAGGGCGTGCAAGACTTGGGCAGGCAGGGGGCTCAAGTGGCACATCAAGATGCGGTAACACCATGAGCTCGATTATTAAGCAGTTTCATCATTTTAAATACCAGTCCTTTCATGGTAAGGTGATCATTTCACAGGCAAGGAGTGCTAAGAAGTTTTGAAGGGATATTCGGGCACATGAACTGCAACGACACTAAAATGGTTTTTTGTGTGAATTTCATGTTCACTGATGATGCTGGACATTGGTGGGAGTTTGAAACATGTAATTGAACTGCAGATTAACAACGTAAACCCACTTAGAACCAGTTCGAGTTGTTGATGGGTAAATAAGTAAATAATTTTTTCGGCCATTGAAGGATCAAAAGAATGTACAATTTCTTCTTCTCACACAAGAAAATTTGTGACTCAGAGAGTATAAAAAAAGACATTTGAACGGCTTTCTAGATATGCTCTTCATATGGTAAACGCTGAGCTTACAAAGGCCAAAAGGTTTAAAATGGGATTAAAGTCAGAGATTAAGGGAATCATGATAGCCCAGCAATATATTACTTATGCAAAAGTTGTATGTCAAGTGTAAGCAACCTCTAATGGTTTAGGATTGGAGAAGAAAATCCGGCACAACATCGAGTTTTCTATAAAGAAAAAGTGGCAAGGTCAAGACAAAGGGAAAGGCAGAGATCAGAATGAGAAAGGAAAGGTCTGGTTATATTCAAACAAAACTTTTCCTTAATACCCCAAGTGCAACAATCGACACTTGGGTGAGTGTCTTTAGTGAAGAGGGTTATGCTACATTTGTGATAAGACAGGTCATTTTCTTAGAGAATGTCTAGAGAAGAAGGAAGAAGGTGATCAACTTAAGAAAGGAAATGCTAGGGTATTTCCTTGATAGGAGAAGAACATGATCAGAACACGGACGTAATAACATGTATGTAACCAGTATCTGATATACTCACTATTGTCCTCATGGATTTTGGATCTACGCATTCATTTATTTTTAATATTTCTTTAGGTAAGACTGGGAATAAATGTGTAAAAGTGAATAATAGCTTAAATGTTAGTACACTTTCAAGCGAAGTCATTAATATTAGTCAAATGGTTAAAGACATTAAGGTAAAGATCGAAGGAAAAGTACTAAGTAACAAAAATAAAATTCATTAAATGAATGTTGCAGATTTATACCTCTTGATAATGAAAGCCTTCGATATGATTTTGGCACTACAACAAAAATAACTATTTGCAATATGCAAAAGGCAACATTCATTAAATGAATGTTGCTAAAGAGGTTTATTTTAACATTCCAACAAGTGAATATTGCTATTGGTTAAAACAATTGAGTTTTGGCAACATTTTTCAAATGAATGTTGCTAATAACACTTTTTGCAACGTTCATCGACCATTACGAAAGTCTTGTTTTTTGCAATGTTCATTGAACATTGTTAAAAATCTTAATATAGCAACGTTCAGTGACCGTTGTTGGAAATCTTAATATACAGCCTTTTGCAATGTTCTCCTACTGTTGTGAAAAGTGTAACCTTTTGCATCGATCTTTGAATGTTGTAAAAAGTGGAATTTTTCGCAACGATCTTTGAATGTTGTGAAAGGCTTTATTTGTGTAACATTCATTAATCGTTGTTAAAACATGTAAAACCCAACTCAAATGACCAATTACCCGACCCATAGAAAAATCCCAATTCAACAAAACATCCTTTCCCCAACCCTAAATCTTGAAACTTCTTTTTCTGCCTCTGTGTCTCCATCTTCTTCTTCATTTGCCTTTATTCCATTCGCCTCTAAATCTCTGTATACATTTGTATCATTATCTTTGACTTTGTTCATGTCTGCATCTATGTAAATGTCTTAGACTTTGGCTGAATCTGGCATCTACTCTATCCGATTTGAGTTTCCATTGAACAAAAGATCTTAAAATCACATTGAGTTTCCATCTCTGGGATGAAGGTTAAGAGAAAATGCCTACTACACCAAAAAAAGGTTTTTGCAACAGCCAAAAAACGTTGCAAAAGACTTTTTGGAACATTTTAGCTTGTGCTGCGAAGGTCAATGTTGCCATTGAGGGAAGAATTTTTGCAACGTTTATACATTGCAAAAGCCTATCTTGCAAATAACTCCAATAATCATTATTAATTGAACTCTAAAAATGTAACAATACTAGTACAAAATCTAGATAAAAAATTCTAAAACGCCTAAAAATCCAGAACACTTTCCCAAAAAAAAGACAAGGAAAAAAAAACCACTAACTAAGTAGTGAGTTAAACCACCCTATCGGCCTCTTTAATTTTCTTCTCAGTAATCTTCGACATGAGCTGTGCCTTAAATATCGGTTCTGGCCTATAAAAAGAGGAGATAAAGATAAATACCACATTTTGGACATTTGTACCAATTATAATTGAGAAGAAAAGCAAAGAAAATAACTATATCAAATAACTCCAATAAACATAAACTTATAGAATACTGCTTTAGAAGGAGAAATGGCACTAAAATATTGAAGGATGAAAGCAATGAGCAGATTTTTACAAGCTTGAGCTCATCCAGTGAAGAAATGAAAAAGCTGGTCGAGTGACTAGGACAACTTAACTAACCACGTATTACTAACCTAAAAGGCCACTTCTAATATTTGGAAATCATTATAACAAGAAATCGGAATACTCTATTATGTTCCCAAAGGTGTTAGAAAGTTGTCAAAGTTCATAATGTCAACAACTTAATAACACTTCCCCTTAAGCCCTAGATCAATATAGTTATATAATAGAAAAGAAAGCTTCTCAAGTAATGAATATACTAAAAGAAATACTTGTAAATTCGTTCAAGAAAGCATTTCTTTAAAAAACTCTTACAGGCTATTAAAAAGAAGGCAAGAAAAAGACAGCTGCTTGACTTTGGGGAAATCCAAAACCAAAGCCACATCTCAAAACTGTCCATTGACTTCATAAATACACTCATCTATGTCCATTCTGAATGTTAAATTTTGAAGAGGTCTCCTAGAAGGCTTTTAGAAATTAATAAAAAATTTCCATGAGGAAAATGATGAAACAGAATGCCCGCAGTAGTGGACTAACATCAACAAGAAAAGTAGAGGCAATGGAACGCAATTTCCAAAGAGAACGAACTTTAATTTCATTGACGTGTAACTTAAAGAATATGGAGCTGGAATTAAGTGAATTGCAGCATAAGAAATGCTACAAAGAAAAGATAAAAAGGAATCTTATCGCCAAAACAAGTTAACTGACCTAAAAGGAGGCCACGCATTAAAGGGGAATCATTTCAGCTGAAGTCAGTTCCAGGCGCCCGTAAATGAGAGCCTCTTTGTTTCCTGATGTGAGACAACATGAGTTTTATAAATGTTTTCAAGTCTTGACAGAACTATAACGCCCAAGTTTAGAAAAAGTACTGGAAGGAAATGACTAGGTAAATTCTGGTTTATCTTCAAGACCATATTCTATAAGACTGATAAAATTTAAAGAACGCCATAAATAAACTCCAGAAGCATATCAAGGACAGGGTAACAGCTTACCAAGTCATGTTTTGGAATTTTATTACAAGATTTTACCTCAATAGGGAAGTAAGTTGGACGTTTTGGCTTGCCAATATTGATACAAGGTAAATCGGCAGAATAGCGCAAATCAATATTAAGGCTATTAACAAAGTAATCATAGACAGTCACAATTCAGTGGTTTGAGCTTCACCAGCATCATCCTTGTTTTTATGCCTCAGCGAGAACCTGAAATTTTGAGAAAAAATAACTTCAGACTAATACCAAGCAAAGGAAACCAGAAAAGTGAAAATGTAAATAAATAAGAAGATTGAATAGAACAGATAAAACATACAATTGCTCTTTGCAAGGCCTCTCACTTAATCCAGTAATTTTGTACTCTTGGTTAGTAGGACTCGTAGTTATCCTCAAATTCTGTAGGACACGTTTTGCTTGAGGAGTTCAAATTGTATTAGATTTTGCTTGCAATGAGAAAGCACTCTTGGTTAAAGAAGTAGTTCAATTAGACACGATAATGTTATAAGATGCAGATTTCACCATTAAAAGAGTGCAGACCGTCCTCTTTAAGAAGATCTTATTACGAGTGACTTTGCCTCGTAAAATTTCTTACATATCTCCTTTGTCATCGTCTTCTTTGCAACACTTGACATAACTGAATCTGGTAATGCTGAGTGCAAACTGCCAATAACATTGTTGTCCTTCTCTCCCCACCTATATATTGTGTGATTTTGAGAAAAGAAACAAGAGAATCCCTGCTGCACCCCTTTGTGTGAGAAAAAAGGTGTCCAGAAGTATCCAGATGGTATAACGTGTGCAATTGGTGGTTCTTTCATAATATACCTTTGTGGTGTCTTTTCTTAGCCTTTATGGTGATAAATCATTATCATTTCTTGTCCTACGTGGATAAGATTGAATAGCAACCAAGGTGAATCAATTGGTTGTGGTTTGGAGCAGTTTTGTATTGGTTGTTGGTAGAGAAAGGTATGTTGGACTGAGCCTGAAAAACCACCGTTTGAAGATCCTTTTGAGAGATCTTCCACAAGTATTGGTATCAGAGCTTCAAGATGAAGGTTTTGGCTCGTGAAATCTACCAGAAATCATCAAGAAAATTGGCAGAAACGCAGCAAAAATCAGATCGAAGAAGCTGTCCAAAAACTGTTATAATCAGTCTCCATTTTTCGCATTTTCTGATCAATCCAGAAGGGGTTTGGAGAAACGGAGACCACTGACGTGACGTACAGAAGGAGGCAAACCCTTTAGGCCGGCACGTGTGGTGGCGCGTGAAGCCCACGCGCTGAGGGAAGGAGCCGCACATGAGGGCGCGTGGAGCATTTTTTGGCTACGGTCCCCTAGGAAGTTTGTTCCTTATACTATTTCTGACATTTTTCGTGTTGAAAGTTTTCTATTTCAGGGTATGTAGAAGAATCTGGACAGTGTTGTTCTTCGGGCGTTGGGGACTCGATCGTGATTTTTTTGTTGCTGCAGTTTTCAGAGACTTTAGGACGAATAGTGATGGTCCTAAAGTGATAAATTCACAACTCTCATAATTTACGGACTTAGATAGTCCGCTCTGGTATATTGGCTTAACTTAGTTTTAAATTTCAGCATTTGCAGATTATCGTCTGGGGTGATCGTTAGGATTGGGGGTTGTCATTGCTTGACAACCATTGTTTGTGCTAGAAAATTTAGGAATTATTTGCTCTGTTTTTGAAGTGTTGAGTTTTGATTGCAAGTTGGTAGTTGATTTTGTGCTTTACCTGTCATATGGTCACTGTGTGAGACTTGTTGCGTGAAAATTCGAACTTTTGTTTACATACTTTTGTGTTGCATTGATTTTCCTGTTAGAACACCTGGACTTGACCCGTTCGAACATTTCCTTGATCTAAGATTGTGAATCTTACGAAATCCTGAGAATCTAGAACGGTGTATATTGTGGTCGTAGGATAACTTTGTGTGACCTATCTGTGCTTTTGGTTGTTCTAGTTTTTTTAAAAATGTCTTCACGATTTGAAGTTGAAATTTTTAATGGGAAAGGGGATTTTTCAATTTGGCAACAAAAAATGAAGGGTATTTTGGTCCAACAAAAAGTTTCAAAGGCCATAGATAGCAAATTTCCTGCAAATTTAACAGAAGTACAAAAAGAAGAGTATGATGAACTTACATTCACTTCAATTATTTTACACCTGTCTGATACTATTTTGAAAAAAGTAGAAAAACTGGATTCTACAAAATAACTTTGGGAAAAGTTGGAGGACTTATATTTGCTTAAGTCAACTCCTAATAACTTGTACTTGCTTGAACGATTTTTCAGCTTTAAAATGGATCCTTCAAAGGATTTTGATGATAATCTGGATGTATTTAACAAGTTAGTTCAAGACATCGTTAATTGTGATGAAGAGGTATCTGAAATGTATAAGGCTATTATCCTGCTTAATTCCATGTCTGATTCATATAGGGAAGTTAAGAATGCAATTAAGTACGGTAGGGACACCTTAACACCCGAGATTGTCATAGACTCACTTAGGAGTAAGGAGATGGAGATTAAGGCTGAAAAAGAGGATAAGAGGAGTGGCGAGATACATATGATGAGGAGTAGGATGAAGTTTAAGCAAATGAATTTGGGTAGAGTTCAAGACAGTAGTGATTCGAGTGATGAGGGTAGTAAGAAAAAGGGCAAGAGACGAGACAAGTATAGTTGTAGAAGGCGTTACAGTTGTGGTAAGTCTGGACACTTTATTAGGGACTGTCTCAAGAAGAAAGATAAGCTGAAGGGAAAGATGAGAGGTGAGACGAATTTGGTTGAGGGGTCGAGTTATGACCCCAGTGAGGTTTATTGACTGTAAACCTAGTCACTGCATATGCATCTATGTGTGATCCTTTTCTGCATGTGTGTGATTGTCTAAATTTTGTTGCATGATTATTTGTTGCATCTCAATGTATTTGATATGTGCATTTGCATGAATTTGAGACATTAGGATTACTTGGTGTAATTGCTTGCATGCATAGTGGGTTAGGATGCATTAGCAGTATGTTATGTGTCTTTTGGTGAGGTGGAGAATAGATACCTAGGGGTACATGGTGGTTTGTACCGAGGATGTGGAGTGTGACATTTGGATCACGAGTGGAGATGTGATCAAATGTCTAGGATCATTTATCTCGAATGAGACCCTTATCAGGTGGAGTGTAAGAGAGACACTTCTATCACTTCTGTTAGGTGGAGACCCATTATCCACGTAGGTTGGGAGAAGTGATGTGCAGATAGAGGATTATCTCGTGGACTTAGGATCTATTGTGACTTACTAGTTAGACATGAGTTGAGTAATCTGTCTAGTGAGCGTGGTGGACGATGAGAGGAGATATGTGTTCTCGAGGTGTGAGCAACACGGAATGGGATAGGATAAGTGTGGTGAGATCTTTTCTTAGGGTCATTTATGCATGTGTTGCATATGTGGTTGACCGTGGTTTGATTGACTTGGTGTTAATCTATGGTTCTATGTGAACGCGTTTCTAAAAAGATCTGTGTGTGTTATCCTATAGTATATCGTCATCGCATGTGTATTTGCTCTTGATTGTTTACTGTTAAATATTTGCTTCTACTTGGGTGTTTTTTGACTTTAGCCCCAGTGAGTACATAGAGCAGGTATGGTATGTGTTTCAAGTTGGAAATACGAGATAAGGTCTGTGATCCAATTTTATTGGCTATCTTGATTATGCAAGTGTTAACTGTGTGTTTTGATTGCTTGCAAATTTATTGGGCATTAAGGTGGAGATTTGTTGGGTTTTTGATACCCAATAAATCTCGGGCTATGATGTTAACGTGGGTTAATATTATTTCATAGACATAGGCTGATGAATGAAATAAGTCCAACAACCAAGTCCATGAGCTACACCCGGCCCAATTGTATTCCTATGGATGGCTTGAATCTTGGCCCGTTTACCCCTTTATTGGCCCAACTTAAAATCTAACCCTAGAGTATATATTTGGCTATAACCCTAGCCACTTTCATATGATGATTGTGTGATTTTGAGAAAAGAAATAAGAGAATCTCGGCTGTCCCCTTTTGTGTGAGAAAAGGGTGTCTAAAAGTGTCCAGAACACTGGTATAACGTGTGCAATTCGTGGTTCTTTCATAGTATACCTTTGTGGTGTCTTCTCTTAGCCTTTGTGGCGATAAATCATCATCCTTTCTTGTCCTACGTGGGTAAGATTGAATAGCAACCAAGGTGAATCAATTGGTTGTGGTTTAGAGCCGTTTTGGATTGGTTGTTGGTAGAGAAAGGTACGTTGGACTAAGCCTGGAAAACCGTCGTTTGAAAATCCTTTTGAGAGAGCTTCCGCAACAAGAACATCGAAAATAGTCTTAGAAAGTCGAACAATGATAAATTTAAAAAAAAATGACTCAGCTTTTGTGATTGTAACTAAGAAATTTACAATTCCGAGATAAGATCCACTCGTATATTGATTAAGAAATCAGTATGGGTTTTGCACAAAATATGAGCAACTTTTACTGGGATTTTTACCTTTCACACAATTTCTCGTGTACTCTAAGAAGCCAAATTGGGGCGCGCAGGCGCCGCGATTTGAGGTGCTCCTTCAGCGACACCACTATTCATCACCTCTAGTATCACACGATTCCTCTCTCGCCACCACTCATCTACTGTCGATGCAGCCTATAGTCACCACCATGCCACCACTTCATTATCTATTGTACCCAGGCATCCAACGCACTTCACATCTTCATCCAACCACCAACTCGCGACACACACACGGCGACCAAGCGAGAGAGAGAGGGAAATGGAAGGTTAGGTTAGGGCCGTGTTTTTACCTTCTCATTTTCTAATTTCAGCCCCCCCCTTTTTATTATTATTTAAGGTGTCTTCGCAAAGTTTTAAAAACGTTGCAAAAACTGGCCTTTTGCAACGTTTTTTGAATGTAGTAAAAAATAAAAATTTTAACAACGTTCAACAAACGTTGTGAAAACTAGCATTCACAACATTTATTTAAAAAATGTTGCCAAAATTCAATTAAATTAACTAATTGCAACATTCACTTATTAAAATATTGCAATAGACCCCTTTAACAACTCTTAATTATCGAACGTTGCCTTTTGTGTGTTGCAGATGACCATTTTTAGTGTAGTGATTGCTATACCAAAGACATTTGTTTTTGCTGGCAACATTTAGGTTTATGGTCTTCCCCCTTTCAGTTTTTGTTTTGATTT